CCCACCCCCACACACACACACCTTTATGCATTATTAAAGATAGTTAAACCAAGCAATAAACACACACACATGGGTCCTCATCTGCTGGTCTTTGTCACCATGGTGACAAGTGTGTGTCCTTGCCAGAGACCAGCTGGTGGACCCTGACTGTGATGGGAGTGATGTGTGTGTGTATGAGAAAGAAAACCAAAACAAAGAGGGAGCACACCGTGCAGCATTGACTCTGTTTTTCCCATTATATGCCTGGACACACACCTGGAACCCAAGACAAAGAGAGGAAGCACAGCCGACATTAGCATATTGATCTTGTATTGATTGCCAGTTGCAAATGACTATTTATTCTCCAATTCATCCGTTAGTATCTTGATTGTGGTGGGAGCAGTGTCGACACTCAGCATACCATCTGTTTCCACCGCTCTCGCACAGAAACGTAAAGAGCATGCAGAGACAAGTCTGGCTGTCTGGTTGGCACAGGAAGACCTATGTGTTTGTCTCATTTGACATGATTACAGACTTTCTACTACCAAAACATCCAGGCCTCCTTTCCATCATTCCACTCTTACTTACTCACTCCCTCCGCCTCCCATTTGTTTGTTCACGTAAACCATGTATTAAATATCAAACTCTCAGAGCACATCAATTCAGTCTGGAGGTCATACAGAATGGGACTTTGCCTGGAAGGAGTGTCCACTTGAAAGGGCTGAACACAGGGCTACTTTCCAGCCTGGAGTGAAAGGCAAAAAGGACTGCCATGAGCTGAAGAGGAGATCTGTGGAGGGGATAAAGAAGACTGAACAAGTTTCAACACAAATCAACAGAAAATCACTCATCTTTTTAATGTTTTTTTTGGCTTTATTAGTCAACATAGCAAAGAGCTGAAAGGAAGTGAGGAGCGATAGAGACGGGGGAGGGAGGGGTGGGTGGTAACATGCAACAAACAAAGCCAGACTCAAACCAGTCACGATGACATGGTCGACGTTTCCATGGTAGGGGACCCGCGGTCGATAAAAATGGCTCATTCTAATGTAAAAAAACAAGATTCTTATTTCCAGGTTTATATACTAATAAAAACATACAACAACAATACTGTGATACTTGGATAATTAGGTTACAGACTACATTTTAACAGATAATTAGTAATTGGATTAAACTAATTCTTTTAAGTAACCCTCCCAACTCAAAAACAAGTAAGGAAGTCACTGGGATTTGCTCTCTGGATCTATGAACATATTTCACCTGCCAAACTGCTTCATCATACTGATCATTTACTGGTGTTATTGTACTGTTGGTATGGATAGGGATAAGCAAAATAAATACACGTATTATATAACAAAAGGTGGCCTACACAGAAATGATCCCATTAAATCTTCTATACTTAATTATTTCTACAGCTCAAGTTTCACTGAGGTATCCTTTTTAAAGATTTTAAAGTGAAAACTATTCTCTTTTTTTGTGTAAATATTTTTTCTAGATGGAATCTTTAAAGCCTCTACAAGGAACTTGAATTTTATGTGGACAAAAGTGGTAGTTTCCACCACTTCGTTTCATTCATTTTAAGCCTGACCATCTTCTCCCTGATGGTCTTGTTTGTTCATGTAGGTCACATGGAGACATCAGTGTTAAATGGAGACTGTTTCATTACCCGTTAAAAACTGAAAGTATGTTTCAGTAAACGTATTAAATAGGCTATCAAAAGTAAAAGTCCCAATCAGTGTGTTACTTTATACCCAATATGTTTGGATTAATATTACTGCTGCATTAATGTGTATGTTGCATTTTACTGCTGCAGATGTTTAAGCATGAGCTAATTACAACTTTATATACTGTTGGGTAAATTGATCAACATAACTGTATCATATTCTATAAGATCCTCATATGTTTAGTGTTGCTGTCCTTTTAGAAACAGAGATCTCTACAAAGACTTTTCATGTGAAACCCAGCCATTTTCATGAGGACACAGCTCTCGTCCCTTATGTGTGTAATTTCAGTCTACATGAATGGCCAGACCTCATGGAGTATCAAATTAAATGTAAAAGGAGCTCAAAGATGTCAAGTTTGTAAAGTACTGGTATAAAAAATAATTTATGGCTCTGCAGCACTGATCAAAACTGATTTTTCTATCATTTTCAAACCTAGTTCTCCTGCGCTTTGTGTCCACCTTAAACACAACGTATATTGTCCATTAAAACAGATAAATATTTATTAAAGGATGACAGATAACAGAAATAACATAACAGAAAATGTACAGTATTTCAGTTGCAGAGAAACAAAGTAAAGACATGCACACATGAGTTTGTCCAGATGCGATACAAAATGGAAAAAGACAAGCAGATGTAATGAAAGGGAAAAGCAAGCTGAAGTAAAGTATAGTGTTAGAATCCTCTTTATTTACATTCATGTAGCTTTACATTGGATTTTACTGTACTGTGACTATACTAAGACTGTACAAGCCACCAGAAAGCAGCAGTGGAAAACAGATCAAATGTGATTTCAAACATGAATATAAAATTCATGGAGCGCCCTCTACTGGCTTCCCCCCCATCAAAAAGCACGAGGATAGGGGAAAGCAAGTCAATGCAACTAATTTAGGAAGGAGCAATGAAGTAGCACTTTACTAAAGTGCCTGAACATAACCGCTGTTTGGTGTCATGGTGACACACTCTTGCTATTATTGGATGTACGCCTTCATCAGGTACAGGAGAACGTTTACAATATAGCAATCACAGTTGGGTGGGGCAGGGGATGTGGAAGTTCATCCCCTTGTGCATAACTGGTCACTACTCATATCCCTTCTGGGCCAGATCACCGTGCGGGAGACAAGCGCGCTCACAGCAGCTGTCTAGCTGTCGTCGGCCTGCAGCATCTTCTCGATCTCTTGGTCCCATTGGTCGTCTTTGTTGTCCGACTCAGTCACCACCTCGTACTCCTGAAGCTCCTGCTGCAGCTCCTTCTCCCAGTCCGCTGACTCGTCTGAATGGAAAAAGGAAGAGAGGGTTATGAGCAGGACAGTTATTTAATCAGTGCTGGAATGTAACTAAGTACTCAAGTACACATTTGAGGTACTTTACTTTATTTCATGCTACTTCCTTCTTCTACTGCTCCACATTGTGCTCTTTACAAATTAAGATTGATGCATACAAAAAGAGGAAGAAGAGCTTATAAAATATGATGTTTTGTAATAAATGGAACTACCCAACAATAAGTACAGACAGCAGTCTATTAGTTATCTGATTTGGAGGTTTGTACTGTTGGTTAGACCAAACAAGCATTGTGAAGGTGTCTCTTTGGACTAATGGTAATTGTGGTGGTACTTCTACTGTTCTATTTAGAAATAATGGAGAACATAATCAGCAGATGAATCCAAGGAAAATAATCATCCGTTGCAGTTCTAGGTTACAGATTGCTGTGTAAGCCTGAAGTCTTCAAACAATCACCAGAGCATTAAATATTATCTGCATTATGTCCAAGATTTAAAAATGTGTTTTTTCGTCATACTAATTAAAACTCTTTGCACTGAATGAGACAGTGGCATCCCAAGCCACCTCAGCCTTAGTAGAATACCGACGCTTGCCAGCAATCTCTAGGGCTCGTCTTTACTAATGTCCCTTGTGATCACTGGCGAGGAGCGCTATCCGTGTCTCAGCGGGTCCCAAAACCCCAAAGGTGTATTTAAAGGGCTCTAATGTCAACCTCGACTTATTTTTATGACCATTCCCTCACTCGCTTAGAACGGAATCCTCGCTGACAGTGCATCAGTATCCAGAGCAAAAAGAGCTGCATTACCAATACCAGCCACAACAAACAGTCAATGGGCTGGTGGCGCTGTTTCAACATTCAGGCTGCTGGTAGGGAGAAAGTAAAGCGCTTCTGTGTAGAAAAAGTGTGTGAATAAATTGGATTTGATGGCTCCTGTCATCAATTCATTTCAAAAATGTTTCTTGAGCTGCTCCTGGACCAATTTCGCTTTACAAGGAGCATGATCTATTAATACATAAATAAAGTCGGAAATATCTGTCAGTGACTTTTAAAGCGCCGGGAAGTGAATAAATATTCATTTATTTGGAACAGAAGGCAAGTAATTATATTTTCTTAGTTCTGTCCAATGAAAAGATTCCTGTTCCTCTAGATTTACAGTCAATAAGGGAACAATAAAGTTATTACGCTGCAACAATGTCCACCTGAGCCTCATCCTTTAACCTGCTGTTGTGCTTCCACTCTAAATCCAAATTGGCTGGATAAGTACAGTAAGTACTTGCAGCTGTGGGACGTGATTACCTAAGAGACAACAAGACAAATCAATAGAAACTCTGAAAGCTAACCATCAGGAGAGGGCACGCTGTCCTTCTTATCCAGCACCAGCTGCTCCATCTCTTTCCTCAGGTCCTCCTGGTTGATGGCCGTGGAGTCGAAAGCGTCGCTCACAAACTCGGACACTCCAGGACTCGTCGACATCTCCTCCTCTTCTTCTTCTTGCGGTGGCTGAGAGTCACAGTGACGGGGCAGAAACTCAGCGTACTGTTTTTTTTTTTTGTTTAGATTGTTGGGAAATATGAAGATGTGCATTCACACCCACACACACGTCTTCATTTTAGCACCTTACCTTCTGTATGTCGCTGATGGAAACTGGAGGAGTTTTTGGTCTGACGCTGTCTACAAAAGATAAACAAGTGCGGTTAGTTTTCCATACGCAAATAACAAGGTGGTTTTTGTTCCACTGAATGACCCACTGATTTCCCCATAACCCACAGCAGAGGTTACTATGTATAGAAGGAGTGATGATGCGGATGGCGAGAACTGAAGGCTTGATTCTCACATGAAAACCTTCCTAACATCACATTCAGCACGGATGCCCTCTGACGCTACAACACGAGCTGCGTCTACAGGGCTCAGTCACACCACAACTTCAGAGTCTTTTGCTCCCAGGCCCTCCAATCAAATCTCAGACTTCTTTCCCAAGATGACAAAGCCCCCCCCCCCAAAGAACATCAGTCTTTATGTGCCCATTGTAAGTAAACAGGCAGCAGACTAAGAATACGAGGCCATGCACACACAGGTTATTTATGGAGCAAGTCACGGGTGATATGATAAGGTGCAGACAGAAAAATAGGGTGAGAGAAGAAATACATTATGTGTTACCTGATCTTTTTGCACAGTATATTTTCTACACAGTGATTTGTAAAATGTGAACCAAAGGCACATTTAGAAACTTAATTTTGTGTGCTTTAAATTCCTTTTAATTATCTGATTTAATTCTAAACTGAATTTTGTGACATTTACAATCTGTTACATCCAGACTGTTTTTCATTCTGATTGAAATTATTCTAATTAAAGATTTCAGGTCACCTGTTGAGATGGAATGTGATCTAATATGGTTTGGGGTGTACATGTGCAAAAAGTGATTAATTTGTTCACGCTTTTGTAAAACAGTGAGTGGGTAAGGACGGATCCACGTTTGTTGTTTTAGGATTTAGCGTTGTAATACTTCCAAAAGTTTTCCAGCAGTTTTGTTTATTTATTTATTTTTTTCCTGGACTTGTTTGAATAGGTTATTTCTTATTTTCTTACCGTCTAATCTTATCAGGTTTTTAAGGGTTTGTTTCATAAACAAGCTGGGGTCCAGTTCAGTTTGGAAGCTGCCATTTTTGGAAGTGGAGAAACATAGCTGCCCACACAGCCATTAAGTAATCAGGTTAAATCATTTACGTGGTATAATGACTCTTGTGATGTGTTTATGAAAAGGTTTAAACTACCCCACTGCAACCAACTGAAATTATAATCTGTTTTGGCCTGTTTATTCCGACTGTTTGTATGGAGTATTTTTTATTCTGTTTGGGCTTTTAAAGTAATTATAATTGGAATATTAGTTTCCCTGTTAACATAGCTGATTGAGATTTCACCGCCAATGATAGTTTAGAGCCATGGTTCCCAACCTGGGGGTTTTACAGGGGTGTCACAAGGCCTTCTTGATTTTAAGGGGTGTAAGAAAATATACAAACTAGGCCTAGATCTGATCGTTCTGCATTACAATCATTTATAACAAGCAAAGCTAACAGAACAAGTATCAGGGAAAAGAAAAGAAGCCTGTTAAGTATGTATGATTGTTAAAAAACAAAAAAAACAAAACATAATACAGACAGACAATTGTATAAAAACTTATCTGATAACTGATCACAAGGTCAAGATCACTGCAGTTACTGCCTTCACTATTTACAGTTTCTCAGTTGTTCTGTGCTGATACAGGTTGTATGCCTCTAGCTGCTGAGTTCACAGTGAGACTACCAGACAAGTTCCACCCTAGTGAGTTGCATGTATAGCTGTAAAAGCAGCACTGACAGCGGCCCACGTTGATGTGGATAACAGGTGAAATGACCCTGTGGAGCATCTCCGCTGCTGTCAAAGCACGGATTCAAGTCTGACCTGTTAAGTCAACGTCCTCAGGTGAAACACTGGCCCCTCTGTCCTCGCCGTCCTTCTGCTGCTGTTGCTGCTGGGCTGCCAGCGCTGTGAGCTGAGCCGACTGCTTGATCAGAGACACCCGGTAGAAATAATTCCTCCAGAAGACCTCCTCCTTCACACTGTCAAACACAAACACATCATCGTCTGTTCTTGTGGACTGCACAGGTAAATGTGGCTGCTGGAACAAGCACACGGTGTACGATGCATACTGTGCACACAATCTCACACACAATGCTGGAAAACTACTGACTGTTTAGGAACCAAGTCAAAGCGCATGCGGTTGAGGAGCTGGTCTTCCTCCAGCATCACTGCAGCCAGAGGATACATCTGCTCCATTTCGAAGTGGAACTGAACACCAGCGGGAGGGTCTCGCAAGAAATTTCTCTTGTCCTGCAATCAGAGAGCTCGGTTTCAACACCAAAGGGCTAATTAATCCAGAGGTGATCAGAAGGATGTATTGATCAAAGACAGACATAATGTCACAGACGTGTCGACGCATATGCTTACGGCTGACAGAGCAAGGATCTGCTGCTGGATCGTCTCCTCTTCATTGTAGCCGACCCAGGGAGGCACTGCTGCTTCTACACACACACACCAGCACACACACACACCCTCAGTCACGTATTGTGCAAAATGGTAGTTTGGTAACAAGCACATCTGATAAAACTAGGCTTCAATGAGGTGTGTTGCATCACTCAATCGCAAGTCTTATCTCTACAAATACACACAAGCATACACCTGGGTCTGTGATAGCAGAAGCTGTTTAAACAGCACCAGCTATATGAGCTGGTAACGTCATGACATCATCATTTCTGCTGCGAGTCCACTGCTTCACGCTTTGTGTCAATGCGGCCTTGCAGAAGAATCTGAATTCATTTGGACATTTTAAAAAGGTGCAATTCACACTTCACTTAGAAACACTACGACGTTGGGACAATTCAATACATTAAATGTGATTGACTCATTGCATTGTATGTCAAAAAAGAGGCAGGAAATAGAGGATTTTAAATAAGTAATACATTTCAGTTTCCCAACTGGCATTCGGGCGACGCTATTAGCAAATAACTTAGTAGATTTTCCGTTTGTATATACTGTATATGTTCACTACATATTGTATGTGTCTAAAATCCTAGTAGTTATCTTTATCATATACTCTTTTTCTTTTTCATTGGTGTTGTATTTCTGAAGTCCTTTAGAAACAGTGCTACACTATATTGGGTTTTTACTGTCTTGTGTGTAAACTGCACTTCAGTAAGTGAGCGTCATTAAAAATACATTCTATCTTTTGGGTGTCAAACACTCACCACCTGGTGTCTTAAAAGGTGGCAGTAAAAAGAAGCGCAGTGCTCTGTCACTGAGAACAGAAGCTGACACCACTCTGGATTAACAGATTACAGTGGATTCTAATAGTATCACTTTCAGTATTTATGAAACCCACAAAATCTCATCATGCAAATAAAGGTGTATTAACACATATTACAACATTACTAC